GATTACAGGCTTCACATATTTAAGAGCAAACATTAATGTATTTTCTCTGAGATAAGGTATTTCCTTCAGTAGCCCTTCCTTCCTATTTCCTGATGACCAGCAATATTCCCGAAAAGGAGGAAGAGTGGGTTTCACAAAACTGCCACCTCCTAACCATACGTGCTGAAAAACAAGACCTCCGGCGTACTTACGCAAGAAGTTACTGTCGGTCAGTCTAACAGCTGGCAAGAATAAGCGAAGAAACTTACCGACGACCACCAGCAGAGTCCATATCAGATAGATGCCGCTGTTGAAGTGCGTGGCGTACTGACGAAACAGACACATGAGGATCGGAGGCAAGACGAAGAACAGCACGTTGCTTATCTGAAACGAGACAGGACGCTGGTAAACGCATGCAAAGCAGTCCTAAAGTTTACAGACTTCAGCTAGCAGCAGCTCATCGTGAGTGACACTGCAACTAAACACACAGACAGCAAAGAAGAGGGACGCACGGTGTTATAGAACTCCGCGATTCCGGGATAGATGAGATAATTCCCTTCACACCAGTCCACCTCCGAGCTGCCCGCCTGCAGTTGAGCCCACAGATGCGCGTCCATCGCTGCGCTTTAACGCACGCATGCGGCGACAGTTTGTTGTAATCAGTGACGCGTGTGTAGTCTTGTTATCTGAGCATGTCATCCTGCTGCCATCCAGTCCGAGTCTGATCCAGCTTCACTGACTGTACAATAACAACACAGCAACATGTGATTCGCGCATGCGCAGACCTGCGCTCGGATCAGCAAACAGGACAGATTAGTTTGGTTAATATTTACAGTCACATCTCACTAGTTGCCCAGGTAAATGTGTGGTCTACAAGAGGATTCATGATATTATATAAAAAATTTACTAGGGTTAAAAGTAAATGTAACGATAAAAAAAAAAAAAAACTTTAATTCCTCTTACACTCTAAAAAATGCTGGGTTAAATATAACCCAGCGCTGGGTTAAATATGGACAAACCCAGCAATTGGGTTGTTTTGACCCAGCGGTTGGGTTGAACACAACCTAATAGCTGGGTTTGTCCCTTTTTAACCCAGCGCTGGGTTATATTTAACCCAGCATTTTTTAGAGTGCAATATTTAGCTATATGCTCAGATATATTGATATCTTTTATTTTATTTGAAAATCTCCTGTGTCAAAACATTAATATTTTAGAAACACAAATATTTATATGCAATAGCCTATGCTGATATTTTATGTCAAGGGCCACTAGGGGTCCACAGTCCCCTAATAAACAGAGCGACAGATTTTCAGAGTTGATGAACAAAAACTTTTCTGTGAAAAAAAGAATAAAACAAACATGTCAGGATGATAGCTTACTGGATTTCAGTTGTGTTCAAATTCTGGATCTATACACTCTAAAAAATGCTGGGTTACAGTCTATGGTTTCAACCCAAATTTGGGTCAAATATGCACTCTAAAAAATGCTGGGTTAAATATAACCCAGCACTGGGTTAAAAAGGGACGAACCCAGTGGTTGGGTTGTTTTGAACCCAACCGCTGGGTCAAAACAACCCAACCGCTGGGTCAAAGCAACCCAACCTCTGGGTCAAAGCAACCCAACCTCTGGGTCAAAACAACGCAACCGCTGGGTCAAAGCAACCCAACCGCTGGGTCAAAACAACCTTATAGCTGGGTTTGTCCCTTTTTAACCCAGCGCTGGGTTATATTTAACCCAGCATTTTTTAGAGTGTGGACTAACCCAACCATTGGGTTAATTTCTTAAATGAATTTTTTAGCCCAAAAATTGGGTTAGTCCATATTTGACCCAAAGTTGGGTTGATGACAAAATAGAGATTCCCCTTGAAGAAAAAAAAAGAACTTAATAATTAATTAAAAGCAACACAGACAGTCAAAAGACCTGTGATACAGTTAATAAAGAATATACTACAATATTCAAAAACCAATTAAAGACAAAACATTTAGAAGTAGAAAAGAAGAGAAGAAATAATGTATGCACAGACTAGGTTATTAGGACACACAAGTCTAAACAACACATTATTTCTGATGAATAAGTCAAATGCGTGTAAATATAAAGAAAATGCAAAGCATGTACTGATGAGGAAGTTTAGAGAAGAAAGTAAAGTGTATGATCAAAACTAGAAGGAAATGGGATGCTACTAAAATCAGGAAACAATCAATTATAAGGGCATTAGTTACATTTTTACATCTTATTAGGACAATATATGTAGAGATCAATGAAGAAATGCTTTTACACACTCCAATATCGTAGGTGGCGGTATGCAGCTTTAACGACGGCCTTTCTGTAACCCGCCAAAAAACTACAAGGAGAACAAGACGAGCAGTTTCGCGGGAATAAATGTGGTTTTGTGTTTGAATTTGAGTTTAACCTTAAGCAGAAGAAAATGTCCAGCACCGCAGTGGAACTGACAAATGGCCATTGCGCGGACGCAGAAAACAAGAGAGAAAACAAAAAAAACGTTTCTCTGTTTTGTGATGAGCGCGGTTATTTGGACCTGATCGAGTTCATTCTGCAGAACGGAGCCCGAAAAGGCGACCGAACCGGGACGGGGGTGATTTCTGTGTTCGGGACGCAGGCGAGGTACAGCCTCAGAGGTCAGTCAAAACAGCTCATGCACTGAATTTGATGAAAGCCGATTATAAGGAAAATGTATAAGGCAAACCAGAAAAAAAAAAGTCGAGTATAAAAACATCAACAAATGCAAAACGTGGTTGCTTGGTGGCATGCACAAGCGAAAAGTCTTGAGAAAAGCATAATTTGCATGTGATTAAAGGGATAGTTCACCCAAAAATGAAAATTCTGTCATCATTTACTCTAACCAAACAGTTGGTGGTTGCCATTGACTTCCATAGTAGGAAAAAAAATACTATGGAAGTCAATGGCAACCACCAACTGTTTGATTACCAGCAATCTTCAAAATATCTTCTTTTGTGTTCAACATGAGAAAGCAACTCGTACAGGTTTGGAACGACTCGAGGGTGAGTAAATGCTGACAGAATTTTCATTTTTGGGTGAACTATCCCTTTAAGTGCCCCCCCAGCAAAAATTGCTGAAAATGTGCTCACCCCCAGGCCATCCGAGATGTAGATGAGTTTGTTCTTCATCAGATTTGGATAAATTTTGCATTGCGGTGAATGGGTGCCGTCAGAATGAGAGTCCAAACAGCTGATAAAAACATCACAATAATCCACACCACTCCAGTCCATCAGTTAACATCTGGAGAAGACAAAAGCTGAAACAAATCCGTCTAAAATATGAGTCCATAATTCATAATAACGCTTTCTCCAGTGAAACAGTCCATCCACTGTTGTCCTCTCACATTAAAATCCACCCACATATTTGTTTAGAGCGGTTTTGGCTTGTAAATCAGTGCAGATTTCTCTCCTGATTCAAACCAGGCCACTGGAGAAAGCAGTGTTTTGGAAAGAGGACTCGTGTTTTCCCCGGAAGCAACAGTGTGAAGTTAAAAATCAACTACCTCTGAATGTTGAAGTGGCACTAAACTATAATTACAAATGCTTTCACAGATCAGTTTCCTTTGCTGACGACCAAAAGGGTTTTCTGGAAAGGCATTTTGGAGGAGCTGCTGTGGTTTATCAAGGTAGGAAAACATCCCGTACTATTTGTTTTATTTCTGTATATATTCATTTTGCATTTTGTATTGCATTAGTTGCATTTGTTACTGAGTTTAGGGTTCAACCAATGCCAAAGAGCTGTCAGAGAAGGGTGTGAGAATCTGGGATGCTAACGGCTCCAGGGAGTTTCTGGATAAGAACGGCTTCAGCGATCGGGAGGAAGGAGATCTGGGTCCCGTTTATGGCTTTCAGTGGAGGCACTTTGGAGCTGAATACAAAGACATGCACACTGGTAACTGCGCTTCTTTACTGTATAAACAGCCAGTTGACATGACATATCATAGCAGTGAAACTGTAGGATACATAGGAGACTAACTCTGATATTATACATGGAGTCTTTAACTAGAACCGCTAGTGGTCGTTGTATACATAAAATTAACCCATGCACATGACTACTGTTTTAATAGGGCTAAAAAACGTATTATGTCGCTGTATCACGCCACTGTCTTCACAAAGTAATGTCTAGAGTCATGAAATGTTTATTTTTAGTCATCAACTATGTTTTTGTCCAGCTGTTTTATGTTCAAGGCTATTTTAAGCAGGTTACACTAATCACTTTTCTTAACTGTGAATATAGGCTAAACCAGCTTGCAATGACAACGGGAATTAGAAGGAAATAAATACATGTTTTGGTGGTGTAATATTATAATAAAATGTCATTAATCACATATTAAGACCCATGTCTGAATTTATTTTACTTATATTTTATTTATTTATTTAGGAAATGGGCAGACTAGAATAAAAAGCAACACAGTAGTGGACAATAATAGATAAAAATTGCACAGCAAAAATTAATAATTAATCCAAAGTTTATTTTAGCCTACTCATAAATGTTCAAACTTTCGATTAATTATTAATTTTTGTTAATTTATTGTTCGCAACTGTGTTGCTATTTATACTAGTCTGCCCGTTTCCTGAAAGAAAAAAAAAATCTATGATTGTATTTAATAAAACAGTTTTTTATAATTACCCCAAGCTTATCGGTGTTGTTCTCTTATTCAAATTATAAATGATATAACTAAACAAATTAATAATTAATTAGGCGAGACTGTGCACTTGAAATTGGCATTGCATCATCCTGTACAGTGCAGTGAATTATTATTGCTCATTGTCTATTGAACATAAAACAGCAGGACAAAAAACATAGCTGATGACTAAAATAATGATTTCATGACTCTAGACATTACTTTGTGAAGATGATACAGTGACATAATTAGTTTTTTAGCCATATCAAAACCGTAGCTAGGTATACAAAAACCCCTGGTGGTTAAAGTGTTTTATCTAAACATTTTTTAACAACGGGATTGATTGTAAAAAACACCATTTTAGTCAATGACTGAGAGACTTGGATATTTAATTGAAAATCTGTTACGTACATTTGAAAAGCAGCCATGGGTAAATTTTACCCCGTGGCGGTTCTAGTGTTAAGATCTCGTTAACTGAGAAACTCCTTGGGATATTTGTTAAATTTGAAAGCTGTTTCAAACACTTCTCTTTTAATGTGTGTATGGTAAGACTTTGTGTCTGAGCTTGGCTATGATTTCATCTCTCCATGAAGATTACTCTGAGCAAGGTGTTGACCAGTTACAGAAAGTGATTGACTGCATCACGTCAAACCCAGAAGACCGGAGGATCATCATGTGTGCGTGGAACCCCAAAGGTCTCAGTCACATTTATAACCCTCCAGCAGTGTTACTTTACTGTTATTTATATATGTGACCCTGGACCACAAAACCAGTCATAAGGGTCAATTTCTCCAAATAGAGATTTATACGTCATCTGAAAACTGAATAAATAAGCTTTCCATTGATGTATGGTTTGTTATGATCGAGACAATATTTGTGAGAGATACAACTATTTGAAAATCTGGAATCTGAGGGTGCAAGAAAATAAAAATATGGAGAAAATCTCCTTTAAAGTTGTCCAAATGAAGTTCTTAGCAATGCATATTACTAATCAAAAAATTAAGTTCTGATATATTTACAGTAGGAAATGCACAAAATATCTTCATGGAACATGATCTTTACTTAATATCCTAATGATTTTTGGCATAAAGGAAAAATCTATAATTTTGACCCATACAATGTATTGTTGGCTATTGCTACAAATATACCCCAGCGACTTAAGACTGCTTTTGTGCTCCAGGGTCACATATAATGATCATATTTATTAATATTTTGGATTGGCTTTGTTATTTTAGTTTTAATTTAAGTTTCAGTAATTTTGAAGTTAAAAGTTTATGTGCTTTTGTCATTTTGATTAGTTTAAATATTAAATATTTCTATTTAGATTTATTTTTATTTCAATTTAAGGTTTAATCATTTTAGTATTTAAACTTTTATTTTATTTAGTTGCCAAGGCAACATTTGCTAATTTTTTTTTTCAGTTTTATATCACTTACCAAAAACATTTTTAATAGTTTATTTCAGTTAACAATTAAAAAACAATAACAATCAGTTTTAGCAATTTTAGTACTTAAACTTATTTCAGTTAGTTGCCAAGGTTTTATTTTTTTTTCAGGTTTATTTTTAGTTAAACAAAAAAAATGTATTTTAAGCTTTTCATCTAATATTTATATTTTATTTCAATTACCAAAAAATATTTTTAAGTTTGTTTTCATTTTAATTAACAATAACGATTTAGTTTTTAGCAATTTAGCACTTCAGCTCATTTCAGTTAAAGTTTAGGGTTAAATAAAGTTTTTCATGTAATATTTTATTTCAGCTGTATTTTAAATACTGAAAACAATTTTTAAAAGCATATTTAAAAATTAAAAAGTGTCAAAATATATTTTTTAAAAGTGTATTTTTTAATAGTTTTTGTTAATAATAAAAGCACTGCCCTCCAGTGTCGCAACTTAAACATTTATGCATGATGGCGAATTAATTTTATACTTAATTGTTATCGGCAGACCTGCCTCTGATGGCGTTGCCCCCGTGCCATGCGTTGTGTCAGTTTTACGTGTCAGACGGTGAGTTGTCGTGTCAGCTGTACCAGCGCTCTGGTGATATCGGTCTGGGTGTGCCTTTCAACATCGCCAGCTACGCACTGCTGACCTACATGATTGCCCACATCACTGGACTCAAGGTGAACGCATTTCACAATCTGATGCTTTAATCATACAGTATGGTGCAGTTATACAGAAATAATTAACAGCAGAATGCTGCAATTGACAGTAAAAACAAGTAATCCAGGCTTGTTTATTAGACCTTAAAGGAATAGTTCACCCAAAAATGAAAATGTGATGTTTATCTGCTTACCCCCAGGGCATCCAAGATGTAGGTGACTGTTTCTTCAGTAGAACACAAACGGAGATTTTTAACTCAAACCGTTGCAGTCTGTCAGTCATATAATGGAAGTGAATAGGCTCCACTTCTTTGAGAGTAAAAAAAAAACATACACAAACAAAACCAAATTAAACCCTGCGGCTCGTGACGATACATTGATGTGTAAAGACACGAAACGATCGGCCTGTGCAAGAAACTGAACAGTATTTATATCGGTTTTTACCTCTGATGCACTGCAATGTCCGAACTGTCTGAACTGTCCTGAGTGCGTTCTCAACAGCCGATGCGTCGTGGACATTGCGGTGTATAAGAGGTAAACAATGATATAAATACTGTTCAGTTTCTTGCACAGGCCGATCGTTTCGTGTCTTAAGACCTCAATGTATCGTCACGAGCAGCAGGGCTTAATTTGGTTTTGCTTGTGTATGTTTTTTTGACTCAAAGACGTGGAGCCCATTGACTGCCATTATATGACTGACAGACTGCAACGGTTTGAGTTAAAAATCTCCGTTTGTGTTCTACTGAAGAAACAGTCACCTACATCTTGGATGCCCTGGGGGTAAGCAGATAAACATCACATTTTCATTTTTGGGTGAACTATCCCTTTAATATGGAATTTGTGGTTTGTGTACCTAGCATATCTTCGTATATACCTAGTGTATCATTTTATTTTTTTATGGACAGACGAACCAAACTAAAACTCACTGAATATATTTTGCACTCATCTTTTATTATTATTTTTTTCCTTGTAGCCTGGCGATTTTGTTCACACGTTAGGAGATGCCCACATCTACACCAATCACATCGAGCCGTTGAAAGAGCAGGTATGTTGCATAAATTCAATACAATGAATCTATGTGCACTTATCTACAGGTATTTCTGTAGGTATTTTTGAAACAGAATTTAATTGTTTACGGTGAACACAAAAACAGCAGTAGAACAGCAATGAAAATAAACAGCAATGACAATCTGAATAATAGTAGTAGTATTTAAATAGTACTAGCATGCATAATAATAATAATACTAAAGATGGTGATGATAACAATAATACCTTGTGGTGACGGCAACAGTAATATCAATAAAAGTAATAATAATAATAATAATGATGATGTAATAACAATAGTAATAATAATAATGTAATAATGACACATACCCAACACATACCACACCTATCCTAGCTTCTGTGTCAGTGTTCATGTTTTTTTGTTGTTTTCTTTTCACCTATTTTCCAGAATAAAATTCCAGTATAAATATGCCTACATATTTTGAAAAAGGTGTGTGTGGAAAGAATGTTTCTAACACATGTCCTGTGCCCACAGATTCGGCGAGAGCTGCGTCCGTTCCCCAAACTCAAGATCAAACGCAAAGTTGAACGAATTGATGATTTCCATGCAGAGGATTTTGAGATCTATGACTATGACCCCCATCCTGCAATCAAAATGCAAATGGCTGTTTAGATCTTATGAACATCTAAAAAAAAATGTTGTTTTAGTAGTTAAATAATTCTGATCTTTTCGAATGTTTAAAATAAAGACAGTAAGTACATATTAATGGGAGAAGTGGTCTTGAGGTTCATAACATAACATCTGTTCTCAGTTAGGACCAATGTAATCTGCGTCTATGAATGTCATCCTGCAAAAATCAGACCCAACCTTGACTTTAAATCTAGTCCATCCTGGAGCAAGTGCTTCGGAGCAGAGCAGCACAGAGCAAAACATGCTAAGTATGCAAATGATTTTTGTTAATATCTGAATATGATTATAATAGAAACCAAACACATGCCAGCCAAAAGAACACACACTTGGATGAGTTGTTGGTCAGTGTTCAGTTCACACTTTTCATTCTTGTGTAGGGTTGCAAAGGGGTGGAAAATTTCGGTTAATTTTCCGGAAACTTTCCAAAAATCCCTGTAATGTTCCAAAAAATCCTGGAAAGTTTCCGAAATTCCTGTAATGTTCCAAAAAAATCCTGGAAAGTTTCCGAAATGTACTGAAATTTTCCACCTTTTTGCAAACCTACTCTTGTGTCATGTTGTTAGACAGTATTTGGGTTATTTTTGTTTAAAAAAAAAAAACTTTTTTTTTTTTTTTAAACAATAAAACAGTGAGATAAAGGGCGTTTTATGAAAAATCTTTTAACTGTTAGATGAGTCACTGAGTTTTTTTTTAACCTTTACTTTGCTGCCCCCTTTTGGTTTTTACCAATATATCTAAAAGAGAAATGGAGTTATGCATTATATGAATGCAACAGCTGATTATGACAATGCCAATACGATTCTTGATGACCTAATCATTGATCTATCTGAAATCAATACAGCTGATCAACTTTACAGGATCCAAGGCAGATGATTCATAAATATAATCAGAAAAAGGAGTCATTCAGTACCAAGTATGTTGCCTGATTTGTGCAACACTGTTATTCCAGTTTAAGTAATGTATGATGTACTGACTTTTGTTGCAAGTAATTTTTCCAATGATTAAATGTTGCTAAACTAAGACATATTCTGTCTGTTTCTGATGCTGAAAAACTAATTCCTGCATTCCTGCGTTCATGACTTTAAGATTATTGTAATGAATTACCGAGTAGATGCCACGCAGGCTCAATAAATAAGCTTCAGATGGTTCAAAAGACGGCAGCTAGTGTGCCAATAAATATTATCAGCCGAATTTGATCGTCTCTTCATTGGCTATCTGTCAGGTTCTAAAGCTTTGAATAGTGCTATTATTTATCATATTCAATAGACAGTCACAAAATTCCAGCCATCAAAGTCCACAAAAAGAGCCTAAACTGTGCACACTATAGGGGACTTAAGATATTTTGTATTACGCACTTTGGAGTAAGTTTTTGGCATGACTTTCAATTTAAAGTGGGCACCCAAAATCTTCAATCCTGTTGTTTATATGCATTAACAGCGACAGTGACACACATCACCAAGGCTCAAACTGTTATTAACTGTACAAAACCTTGTATACAAATTAATAATCCCAACTCAAAATTGCATACGATTTTATCCAATCAAATAATACACTACATAGCAAATGCCAACTGCTTGATTGACTGCTTTGAAACACTGCCTGTGGTAAAAAGCACTAAATAAATTGGCTTTTGTTGCATTGAGTTCCTACTGTCATGTCTGTAAATTTGTTATAGTAAATGTAAATTATGTAATTAGTATTACTTTTACTAATTTTGAATCATTTGACATTTAAGTGATATTTAAGTACAGGGATGTATGCGCACACACACACACACCAAGAGAAGGAAGAGGTTAATGGTACCAGAGCACGTAGAATCCAAATATCCTTTTAATTTGAACAAAATTACCACACTGTTTGCTTAAACAAGTTGCACGCATGTTGACACTGCAGTATGTTATGCACGCTTTCTCATGCATAAAATAAATGTCATATTTGCCTCATAAAGAACACAGACACAAGCATATTTTACTAATTAAGGCAAACAGAGACATATGTTCAAATGAGCCATAAAAGCAAACACAGGTTAATGCACAGGACAAAACTGGATGGGTTATGACTGTGACATTGATGCACAGAGCTGGGCAGATTCCAAAATTACAAGACAAAAATTGTAGTTAGTAACGTAATGTCTTACATTACACATTTTAGGTAATATAAACGGACTACTTTTAACCTAACTCATTTATCAGATTGAGTTAAATAGGATAATCTTGTACCATACTGATATAAAAATACAAAGAGTAAGAACATATATTCCATTCGTTGTTATTAACAACATGGAGTGCATTAAACATTACACTCTGTCAAGGTTTCCCAAACTGGGGTTCCTAAAGATACTGCAGGGGGGGTTGTGATTTTAATGACAAGCTAATAATTAAAGCATAAAAATGTAAAATTAAAACTCATTTTAAAATGACATCAACCGAAATAAAACACTTACTAAAAAAGAGCAAATATTGTATTTGTTTACCTGCGTGTCAATGTCGGAGAACCGTGAACATGCAATATTTAAATAAAAATGTGATACTTAATTATTAGAATATTTCTTTTAAAATCTCTGGGGTTCGGAGATCTAAGAGAAAAAAAAAAATCCGTTCTGTGCTCATAAGGATAACAAAGTGACGCATAGAAAAGTTTAAAGAGCAGACTGGAAGAGAGAGAGAGAGAGAGAGAGAGAGAAAGAGAGAAGAGAGAGATTTTCATCTCAGTGTCGTTGCACTACCGGACCGCATTCGTCCGCTGCCGTAGGTATGAAACCACTGCTGGAAGAGACACATGGGTTTGTTGGAACCGGTATTCTGTGTGCAATAATTCAGTTTTGAGATACATATTGAGTACATATTTTTGGGGAGTAGTTGTAGCCTACTTGAAGCATCCTTTTAGTGTTGATCTCAGAGACACCTGATGCTGCCATTAAACTAATAGAAGGACAGTGAAGCGATAGGCTACAGTTTGGAACGTCGAAGACAGAACGTTCTAAATACTTCTCTGTGAATTAAGTGATGCTTTCTTCTACAGAATGATGTCGAGCAGCAAAACGACTCTTGCTTTCCTCATCTACGGGCTCCTCGTACAATGCAACGTGTTGAGTTACCCCAACATCAGGTACGGAAACTTATCACCCGTCTCACCTAACGCTCGGTAACGATTTGGATTTTGAGGATTTCGAGTAGCCTGCAGCGTAGTTGGACTAACACTGTTAAATGAATAAAACCACTCCAAAGTCCATTTTTGCGTATCAATACCACGAGTTTTCGTTTTTATTTGGTGTACTATTTATACGCACTTTCATGAGATCGGGTTGTTTATTGACAAGTGTCCGACCACACCAATTTGAACAGATGCCTTTTTTTGTTCGCCTTATGTCTAATAAAAAATAACAAGTAATAGCGGCTACTCAAGAGGTGTTTAATTGCTTACATGAGCGTTCTTTGTTCCGCGTAGAATCGAAAAGGCAAAAGTATGAACGCGCTTTAATTAGAAAGTAGCCTACAGTTGATTCAATTTTAAAGTAAATAGTTTTAAAAGACACGACCATATATTGCTTGATTTTACCCGGCATAAATAAAGTATAATAGCTTATAAGAAAAAATATTGATCACGGATGTCCACAATGCTTCTTTGGAGAAACTAAACTTTTAAAAGCAATTTTACATACATGTCTTTACTATTTTGTTATTACATAATAGTATATGCATTTTAAATATTTAGAGCACAGTAATAGCCTGTGTTAATCACTTGCGAATGAAATGACTTGATGTTTTGTTACAGAATGGAGACTGCAGGATTTGACGAGGAGGGAAACTCATTAACGGATCTAACCTTTGACACTGACCAGATCACTATTCGAAGCTCTCCTTCAGTTACTGAAGACGCATACACATTATACAGTCCTCCATCGAAAAGGTGATCATAGGCTACTTCTTTCTTCCCGAGCTCCTGTTCTATTTCTAGGCGTTCCCAAAATAGTACCCGTTTGTTTATCAGTGATTGCTCTGGTTGCATTGTTCTGTTTGCTAAGACAAATCGAGCCATTGGCTTGTTTAAGACGTTTGCACAAAAAAATAGCGAAGATATTTAGTTTGAAAATGACCCGACTGAAAAAGCCACACTCTAAAAAATGCTGGGTTAAATACAACCCAGTGCTGGGTAAAATATGGGCAAACCCAGCAATTGGGTTGTTTTGACCCAGAGGTTGGGTTACTACCCAGAAGGTTGGGTTAAACATTTAACCCAACCGCTGGGTCAAAACAACCCAATTGCTGGGTTTGCCCATATTTGACCCAGCACTGGGTTGTATTTAACCCAGCATTTTTTAGAGTGCACCCTATAACATGAGAGTGATGTTACAAATTAGGTACTGTTGCGTTATATTAGCTGAAGCTGATCTCTCTTTTGACCACCTCTGATACTTTGTTGTACAATCTTTTTTTTGTTTTGTCAATTTGTCACCCAGATTGGAAAGGCATGCTGACGGGATGTTTAATAAAGCCTACCGGAAAGCGCTCGGTCAGTTATCAGCACGGAAATACCTGCATACACTGATGGCAAAACGCGTGGGGTAAGAACAGCATTTCTGTCTCTCCATCTCTCTTCCTCGCGCTCTCATCCTAAGTGCTATCAGTAATTGAATCTTCCAACTTTTTGTCCGTGCGCTATATCAACTTTATATGTGGGGTTCTCAACATTCGTGAGATCCGTGGGGCGTTCACACAGGAACGCGTTCTGGTTTTTAAAAACCGTTCGATGGAATAATGCAGAACTCCCACGACGTTTTAAAATGTGATACTATTTTTTCAAACCTAAAAGTCTAATTGGAGGCGTGCCAAAAAAATTGTGAAAAAGCATCCTGTGTGAACAGCCCTGTTTTCACAACTTATTATAATTTATTATCCTATAGCCTATGAAATATCCTAAATATTCCTAAATAAAACTAATTTTTAGCGACAACTAGATTATTATTTATTAACATATGCACACTTAAATCCAAATAATGTGACTTTTTTCACAAAGGTTCTGTAATATGCTGGGTTCTAGAAAGCTTTGTCCTTTTTCTCTAACGCAGCGGAGGAAGCACGATAGAGGACGACAATGAGCCGCTCTCAAAGCGTCACTCGGACGGGGTTTTCACGGACAGCTACAGTCGCTACCGGATGCAAATGGCCGTACAGAAATATCTTGCCACGGTCCTTGGCAAAAGGTATAGACAGAGATATAGAAGCAAAGGACGGTGGCTCGCCTATTTGTAGCCTTTTTCAAATGTGTTTATCATGTACATGTACAGCTTTTGGAGCAAGTTAGTCACTATCAAGACTACTATGAAGATGTGTCCTTTATAAACATGTATTTATGTATTAAGTAAAGACATTAAAACGACTATTTTGATAATAATATTGTTTTTCTTTTGTACTGAAGCACCTGACGATGCAACGATCTTCCTTGTGGACCAGTCGTTTAGTTTTACCAATGCTACCAATGCTATTTATTTACTTGTTTGTTTATTTATTCATTCATGTTTGTTTCAATACCTTGTCTATTAAATACATCAGCCTGAATATGAGTAAATAAATAGTCTGAAAGACAATCACTACATTGAATGATACCTTCCTTCTTTCACTCCTGACATTAAGAAAGAAGTTTTTTTTATTTACAACAGCCCTGAAGACTTAGATTTGCACCAATTTCTACAAGACGTAGACTTTGGTGTGCTCCCGGATGGGGATGGGATTGAGGCATTTTTGTTGGATTGGCTGAGACAGTTCCCTCCTGAATTCCCGGTGAGTTTCTTAGGCTCGATGCCATAGTGCTTTTCTGAGGGGTCTCTCTCATCCCTTCCATGCTTTTACTCGCATGAAGTTCTTCACACTTTCATCTACGGCTTAAATCTCACAAGCCATTCAACACTTTTTCTTTTCTTGCACAAACCTTTCTGAAAAAAGAGCTCCTTAAGGCCCGTTCACACCAAAGACGATATCTATGATGAAAACTATAAAAGTTACATAATTTCCAGTTCGATGTGAATATGGAAGTCTACCCCACAACTAAAACGATAACGACACAGAGGAACAATATCATTGGAATCACTTTCAGAAAGATTTTTTTTTCAGCTGATGAATGATAAAAACATTGACAGCCAATCAGAATCCACCTGATTTTGGCGAGCTCGAGCATTTAAAGCGGCAGACGACTAACCTACAGCTCATTCCTATTGTGTTTTTATAGTTATCGTTATTAGTGTGAACGGAACAGGCCTTTATTGTCCCTATAAATGTGAATTAAATCTGCATCTTCAAACGCTGAGCATGCAATTGCTCCCCTTTGAAATCTCAAAAAAACCCCAAAAAACTGAAGTTCATATATGAATGCGTGTGTATTAGACTTGATTACAGTGGTTCAGACTTATAAATGTTTCTTTCTTTGTTCTTTTTTCACAATTTTCTATCTTTCTCATATTGCACGCTTCTCACATCAGTGTCAATGTTTGTTCTTTGTCTATGACCATAAAGCTGTTAATCAATGGAGACGTGTGTCTCTGCATCTTACATTTTTCTGTCACATCTATGTGGTTATAAGTATCAGCAGGTCATTGTTAGATGAGTTGGGTATGACATATATAGATGTATTCTGTAATAATTCCTTTATGCATGCAAAACAAAATCATATTCCAAAAGATGAAATAAAAGGCAATATGTTTTGAGGTAAAACCAACTGTTAAAAGCAAACCTCCAACTTACATCACAGTTTTTGACAGTGTTATATATGCTTAAGCTTGTTAGTGATATGTACATGTTTGCATATGCATATTATAATGTGTTTGCGTGTAAAAGGGCGATCATGTGAAATCAATCTGTGTTTAATTCTGCATTCTCCTGCAGGCTTTGTGACACAGGAGGCAGCTAGCGGCTTGGGTGCCTTTGCTTCATCTTTAAAATGGCCACCAATTTCACATGGCACATTAGTGGCCCTCCAAATGCTGCAATCACCTGTTCACACATCTCCTATTTCTCACATAACATGCCTTGTTCAAATGCCACCTGGCTTTCCGGTTATTCGATTTAACTTCTCTATGCATAGTGCGTTGTAGCGATCTGTACGGCATTTATTAAACATTCGCAGCCTTGAAATTCATTTTGTGTGCAGAGACTGATAGTGCCCAAAGCCTTACTTAAACATTAAGATAAATCTCTGTCTTGTGCTGATCGTTAGTACAATAACACATGGGAGCCACACAAGGGCACCATTATATATGTAAGAAACAAAACAAAACAAACAAAAAACTGTGTTGTAAGATTTGTATGAATAAATTTTTGTAAACAACAATTTCGTCTAATCTTTGATGATTATGAGGAAAGCAAAGCACAAATAAACACCCTTGGATCATAAATACATGTGCAGTAAATATGATACACCTGCAAGTAATGTAAACATTTAGAAAGATCACATCTTCACAAACAAAATGTGATATGCCATCAATAAATATAAAATTCAGAAAATGTGTGATGTGTCAGATAAATCAAAATAAATAGAAATATAACCCACGCTCTCAGAAAAAAAGGTACAAAAGCTGTCACTGGAGCAGTACTAATATGTACACATTAGATACTAATATGTACCTTTAAGGTACCAATATGGATGCTTGAGATACAAAGGTCTATCTTTTTAAAAGGTATCCCACCAGTGACTGCTTTTATACCTATTTTCTGAGAGTGCATGATGCAAAAAATATTATAACATATGCAAAAATAATTTGAAAAGTGACACTAAAGTGAAAAGTGACACAATAAGCAGGAACACAAGTTAATAGAAATGAGGGTTTCATGCTACCGCTGTCTGATAAAGTGAAATATTTAATTGCTTACCACTAAAGCGGAGATATACAGTAGAAAATACACATGTCTGTATGTATTTGTATGTGTTCTCCCACCAGGCTGTGACTGGTGTTATAGTGCAGAGACACCAGCGTAAGGAGAACCTTTTAGTTCCTGTCAGAGCAGATCAGAGCTAATAATCTCACACTGGACCCCCTACATCGCTGTAGCACAGCAGGCAAAAACACTGACCTTTACCATCGCCATTACATGTCCGTTTAGCTGTTTGACTGATCTCATGCAAGCATGCATTGTATCCACTGTCAGAACTGTGTGATGTGGGTTAAACAGGATGATTGATTAGTATTAAAAAGTTTAATTTGTAAGTCTGTAATTTTTTAAAGAGGTCACAAGCACAGTTTTCATACCCCTTTGATCTATTTTTATGTTTTTCTTGCAGTCCACTTCAAATAAAATGTTGATTTTAATGTACTTGGCTAAGCAGACATTGATCGGGTGGCTTGCTAATGTGTTAGATTTCTTCTAATACATTAAATAAGTAAGCTTGACCAAATTACATTTCTCTCTCTGTGGGACAGAACTTAAGACAAATGGGCTACAAACAATAGACTTTTTTTACCAATGAGTCAGAGAGAAGAGTGTGATATCACAAACTGGGTGTGGCTCTGATGAATGCACAAGTGACTTGATAAACTCATTCACATGCATTCTTGTCAAATGATTCCTGCATATTTACCTCAGCTTCTGTAATTCAGTTGTCTGTTAAACTAGGTTGCAACCCAGGCTCATTGGAAAAAACCAATGTGGTGTCATTTCTGCAAAATTATATTAAAAGCATGTTTAAAGCGCTAAAAGCATGTTTAGTTTGTGTCAATCTGGCAACCATGGGCATAGAATACGCCGGGGACATGTTAACATTATGCAGTGCATGTTTCATTCATACTCGAAGCCGGAGGGCGCTCTCACGCAGAAAGTCCAAAACAGACTCATAGAAGTAATAACTTCTGACATCATGCCAGGAAATCCCTAATATGGAGAAAGGCATCCAGCTATCGCTGTAGTTAAGCTGGATAAAAAGCAGAAACGTTTTGACTGATGAAACGTGAAGACAATACATAGCTACACAATATGCAACATTACATGGTTTAAGTGTGTTTTTCAAGTCATCTCCATGCAATAAAATGGAAAAAAGTGTTTGTAGTATACAGTATAAACCAATCATAAAATTGTCACTAGGAAAAAAATATACAAATGATTGGTTATTGTCCAGGGGCCGGTTGCACCAGCTGTATTCAAGTTACAACTTAGCCTAGCTTTGACGTAAATGTACACTAAGTTACAACTTCCGCACTACTAAATATTTTGTTGTTGTTGTTGCACCTTTACACTTAATAGAAGCGTAACTCTACGTATAAACTAATTATTTACAGGAAGTGTCTGGTCAGGAGTAACAGTTGGAATAAAATAGCTGCGTCAATATGCTCTTCTTTTACCTGACAACCATCAATCCTTTAGACATATACGATGCTGCTGACATTTACACTCACGTACATATTAAGAGAGAGAACGATATGCGAATAAACTTACTTCTTTTTTTAGTGCTTCTTCAACACCCCATCTACAGCGCCCTGCCATAAACCCAACAACAGTGTTAAAAAAGCAAACGTGAGTTCAAAACGCATTTGCTTATATTAGCTTATATTGCGACTCGTAATTCACGGGACTCGTACCCGAGCGCTTCAAAACCTCAGCTGTACCAGGTGCACTACCGAGCAAGTTTACTACATCAGAAAAGCCAAGCATATTGAGCTGGTTAACTGTGAAGCCTGTGTGTGTGTGAATGACAGAATTATGTAATTATTATAAAATGAAGCAGAGGTCTACAGTGGTTACAAAAACAACAAAAAGCAGCACCATTTCCAAACCTTAAATAATAAATAAAGATGGCACCACAAAATGAGGCTCTTTCTGAAAACGAAAGTGTGCGTGATTGACTTAAAGTGTCTCAAGGGAAAACGAACTCATTGTTTTCTGTGATCAGGTTACCGTATAACATTTTTCCTTTCCCTGTCCCAGTTACTGTACAAACATTTTTTCTGAGATACCTGAAAGTTTTATTAGGACATTCAGATTAAATGCTATAGGTTTGTCTTTTCAGATAAAGTCATATAGCATCTCTTTTCTTTTCTCTGTCTCTTCCTTTGTCTCTTTCTTATCCCCCACTTCTTCTTTTCCTGCTCTCCTGTTCCATTATCTACTTTTCAATCACCAATTTAATGACCATTTTAATTATTAATATCCACAGCCAGTGCATATGTTTGTGTGGTGTCCAAATGCAGCTGGTGATGGGTCACACTTATTGATCAACGGAGTAAATGCATGTGGTATCACTGTCAAGCAATTCACTTTTTATTTACGAGAGATGTCAACATCCTTATGAAACATTCATATGAGGGCATCCTCTCTGCACTCATCTCATTTACTATCTGTTTTGCATTAGAGCTATGGTAATTAACCTGCGGCTCTTTATCGCCAGTGTGGTCTCACTTTTCACTGTGCTTGTCCAGCGGGACTATTCATTATTATAGGCTAATGCACTGTATTTAATCATTTTACAGATATTGTCAGATGAATGCCCATCTGTATCAGTCCTTTCATTGAATCATTGCTGGTCTTGCAGACACAGGTCCAGGTTCCTTGTGTGGTTCCTTGCACAATCTGTTATGACCTCAAACACTTTTAACATAGTGCATGATTTATACACTAATACATTGTGATGTTTGCATAACCAGCTTCATATGTCTGATGGAGTAAACTTGCTTGGTAGCGCACCTGGTACAGCATTGCACCTGTGATGCGAAGCCCTCGGCTGCAAGTCCTATGAAACACGAGACATGATAAAAGAGCTCAAAGACTTGTAGATGCAGGCTAAAATGACACGGTTGCTTCAGCAAATGCGGCAAATGTCTTGTGTTTGCTTTTGGTCACACTAATGGTTAGCTCCAACCCTCTCCATTGATAAAAGTTTTCAATAAACACTTTATAGCATCCGTGACTGGTTATACATACTGAATGTACTCAGATTTAAGTTACATTAAATCTAGTGCACACACACTTACAAAACCATTTTTGTATAAATGTAATATCCTGTTAAGGTCGAGACAATGCTTTTATGGCCACTGAAAATCCAGTTCAATAAAATCTTTGCATCGATGCGATAACATGAGCAAACAAAAATATACCAGTGCATCTTTTCTCTAGACAAAGTGAAAAATACCATTTTAGTACAACAAGCGATATGCTTCTCAATTGATTTTGCTTCTCATCTGATTGGACAGTAACTTATATATTATATCTGAAAAATATCCAAAGGTTTGCAGAGAGCTGCCGACAAAGCTTTGTTATAAAAAGATAGTTGATTCAGGACAGTAAAGGGGAGGATTTGAGATTTAACAGGATAATTAACCTTTAGGAGGTCATTACAGAGGAATAAAAGACTAATTTTGCTGGAAATGTCAATGGTATAACATTTGCAGCAAAGAAGCAAGCTCTAATGACCGAGACCTTATCCAAAGAGAAGAATTCTTTCTCCTGTAACACTTTCACTCGCTCTAATGGTCAGCCCCTTAACTTCATTATTTACTTTTTCTCACTGATGTTTTGTTTTTAACATACAGCCACTTCTCATAAAAGGGTATTTCATAATTTGAATTACGAACCATTTATTTCTACATTAAATTTAAAAACTTTATTTTCATTTAATACAGTATTTAAGTAAAAAATAAAGCGAAGGTATTTAAAGTGTTTATTTAATACCATGGTATATTCCCTACTTGCATTTCAGAGTATTTACAGTTACCATTACTTACATTTATTAAGTTTTTCATTTTTATATATTTAAATATTATCACAGACTTGTCAGACTATGTTTGTTTGAAATTGCATTTTCCATACAGTCCTGTATTAGTTAGTTCGGACTTGACTGGGAAATGGCGTTTATACAGCATAAACATTTAAGTAACACACTCTAAAAAATGCTGGGTTAAATATAACCCAACCGCTGGGTCAAAACAATCCAACCGCTGGGTCAAAACAA